ATTGAGATCGTTGAAATCAGTGCTTGTTATGTAGAGGTACTCTGAAGTAACCTCACCAGTTCAGCACAAATTTATCTTATTCAACTTAAAGTCATTTTCATTCTATTTCTGAAATTGTCTTTATTTAGAGAATGATTTAATGAAGGGTTAGGTCTTGGCTGAAAATTTAACATAATGCCACCTGGCCAGAATTTGATGTTTTATATAGGTAGCTGGGGTGACCTGGTCTGATATTTCCTGGTTTCTGATTTCAAAATATCTCATCAATTATATACCAAATATGATATCAAAAATCATAATTCTATGATCTGTCTTTAGGAAGGATTGTTACAGTGCCATTCAAAAATTATATCGTTATATACTCATCCATCCATAGCAGGTTAGTTAAACTGCGGGTAGAAGAGAACAGAGGAGATAGTGGATTAAGTGGGGCCACATTGATTATTTGGTGTCACTAAGATGATGCCTAGCTCCTTCTTCACCTCTCACTAAGTTATGGTCTCATGTTATGAGCTGAATGAAGATACTTTTACAGAGTAGCTCATCATCACCTTAAATTCAAATGTCTATTAGCGAACATATTTTCAACTCTTTGCTCCCTACAAAATTTGTACTCTTTTCAAAGTCTCCCATTTTTTCAGTAACCTACTTTTCTTTTTCTGCATTTGTCCTATTATCCTAAAGAGTATTTCTTCAGTTTTCCCCTTTTTCATCATCACCTCAGTAATGGTGATGATTTTGTGGCTAATCTCCTGTCTCCATCTTTTCTGATTCATATATACCATTATCAGATTCATCTTCCTAAAACACCATGTTCCTAGCGTCAGTACTCTGCCACTGAGCTTGTAGTGATTTTCTGTTAGATAAGTGTAAACTCATCAATCTGATGTGAGAAAGAAGCCATTTTTCAGTGGGGCTTTCTAATTGTATCCCAGTCTCAGTCCTTAAGAATAACATCTCTCTGTGGTAGATTGTTGGATAATTGTTATTCATTCTTTACTATATTCCTTTGTTAGCACAATTTCTTACTCTTAGAATATGTTCCTACTCCCTTGACAGTCAAAATTTAAATTTTTTATAAAATATTTTCCAGTCTGACTTAGAATTCTGTACCAGCTTCGGCTACATCCAGATTACAACAATAACAGTCTTCACGTGTGTATAGAGCACTTTAAACAATTTTCGAAGACTTTTCATATGTATTCACACTTATTTTTCCTACACAGGCCTGTAAAATAGATAAGGTAGATGTTATCATCATTTATGAATGAACCGAGACTCGAAAGTAGGTTAGCAATTTTCTAAAGCCACAAAGCTAGTATATAATGGATTGGTCTTCTGACTTTTAGTTTAATATACTTTTCTGCCTCTGAAATCCTTTTGTTCTTGCAGTCTCACTTGTAAAATTTAGTGCCCTTCCATGTATTTCCTGCATTTCTTATCAGTTAATTCTGTCTCTCTGACTCTATTGTGAACCTGTCTAGAACAGGATACAGCTTGACCTTTTTTGGTTTTCCGTAATCTTGAGTACTTAGCAGGAACTGTGTAAGTTTTTAAATTTACCTATTGCAAGGAAACTATATACCATCTGGAAGCAAATGAACCCATAACTCATTGGGCACATAGTAATGAGTATGAAGTGAATATACATTTATCAAACATCTCTGATTGGCCTTGTGTAGGATATGGTGGGAAGAAGAGTATACATACATATATATAAAATTTTTTTAAAGTAGCAGTGGCAAAAATATTATTTGAGAGTTTACTGACATACACTATAACAGCTGTAGGAGTTTAGACAACACCATGCAGGCTAAAATAGCTAAGGATGACCTACAAAGTTGGCAGGATTTGAATGGTGTTTTATCTACTAATATTAAAAGACATTTTAGCATCTTGAACAATGGATAGAATTTATATAGGCAAATAGTCAAGAATAGAATGTCAAGTCAATGAGATTTTTGTTATCTAATATAATAAGATTGTGCTAATTTTACTACACAGTTAAAATGTGGTATTTGTGGCAGAAAAAGAGTGAAGAATTAACTGATGTGTTTTCTTTCTCTGCAGAGGTAAAGTGTAGGATACTCCTGGCTCTTCTTGAATATTCAGGTAACATGTTACATTATTTTTACTATTGAAGTATCCTGGCCTAGGATCTTAACTGTCTTATAATATGAAGGCCATGCCTTCAGCCGTTTACAAAGATAGATGTAGATATGATCCCTACCATCTCTACAGCCTTGGAAAGATTAGAAAAAATACATAGTTTTGATAAAAACACGAAAACATACATTCATCCTCAATTATAGGTAAAGATATGAATTCATATGTAAATATATATTTAAACAGAATGTCATTAAAAAGGAGAAAGGGAGCAAGTTTTGCTAAAGGTAATTGTGCTAATAGGATTTATTGTGAAACTGTGCCTAACTTTAATATGAACAAGGATGTATGTCAGCATTTTACAAATCTTACTCATATTAAAACACTTCTACCACACACTTAGTGGGAGTTCAAAAAATATTGGCAACGGAAAGTGACATTGAAGGACAATTAAATATTTGATGAAACTCTAAATTACAGACAGCAGACTGTTAGTGTCATAAAGGCAGGCACTGTATCTATTTTGATCATCCACAAATGCCTAAAATAGTGGCTGGCACGTAGATGTTCAACAAATATTTGTTACAAAGGAAGAATCTATGAAACATTTTAGCAAGGTTTTTATTAAAAATACATTAAAAGGAAATGGCCCCTCAAATACATGCTGGTGAATAGTTTAATGTTAGCTTGCTATATTTCTCTTTCGGTAGATATAGAGACATATAGATATGTTGATTGACTTATTTGTATTATTTTAATCTATTTCTCATGGAGTGTGTGTATGCACAAATGCTATTATACTAACCTTACATTTTGATAGGGATTTGTTCCTAAAACTATAACCTGTTATACAGGAACAATTATGTGTTAGAGTACCTTTTGCCGTGTCAAAAAAAAAAAAAAATCCCCAAACTTTGTGGCTTAAAACAGCCACCATTTATTATTGCTCACCTGTCTAGTGTCAGCTGAGCTGTTCTGTGGATCTGTGCTACGTTTTATTGATCTTGGCTGGGTTTGCCCATGTGTCTGCAGCCAGGAAGTAGGTTGCCCGGGCACAGATGATCTAGGGTGCCCTTGCTGACATATGTGACACTTGGCTGGCTGTTAGCTGCAGTAACAGGGCTGCCATATCTCTCATAATCTATGAGGCTCACCTGTTCTTGTTCACATCGTGGATTTGCAAGGTTCTGAGAAGAGAGAAGAAGTGTACAAGAGCTTGCCACCTTCTGTTGGCCAAGATGTATATCTGACAGGCTCAGATTCAAGGGGTAGAGACGTGGACTCTGCTTTTGATGGAGGAGTCTCAAAATTATATTGCAAGGGCATGGGTACGGGGAAGGGAAGAATTTGTGACCACTTTACAATCTACTACACTCAGAAATTTTTAATTATAAATGATTGAATGAGCCAAGTTAACCAAGAGGGTTTTTATCTGTTGGTTGGTTTTTGCCTTAATTAAACACGTTTTTGCCTTGCTTTTTGAACGAGTAATAATATTTGGTTATTAAGTATGAAATGCTCTATTTCCTTAAGTACTAAGTTTGACAGTTGATATCGCTGACATTTCATTTTGACACTTGTTGTTTTATTTTTATTGTGAAGGTACATCCTCAGTTTTGCAAACACATGTTTTGGCTTGTGATTATCTTTCACATTTTTTTTAGAGTAATTTTTGTGAAACCGTGGATAAGTCAAAAATTTGTGTTATTTTTGAATGTGAGTTCTGCTGTGGAACCAATGCAGTGCAGACAGCTCGAAATATCAACCAATCGTTTGGGAAGGATGTGGCTAATGAACGCACAGTATGTCGATGGTTTAAGAAGTTCTGTTCTGGGGATTTTAATCTAGAAAATGAGCCACGTGGCGACTTCAGACCAAGGTGGATAATGATGAGTTGTAAGCTGCAGTGGAAGCGAATCCATCTCAACCTACTCATGAATTAGCAGCAAGGTTTGTTGTTACTATTCTAACAACATTGGACCATTTGAAACAAATTGGCAAGGTAAAGAAGCCGGATAGATAGGTTCTGCATGAATTAAACAAGTGTCAGAAGAGAAATCGTCTCAAAGCTTGCCTTTCTTTGCTGTCACAACATAAATGCAAATCATTTCTACGCCATATCGTTACATGTGATGAAAAATGGATTCTTTTTGGCAGTCACAAGCGTTCGGCACAATGGCTGGATAAAGATGAAGTGCCGAGACACAATCCAAAACCAAATATTCATCAAAAAAAGGTAATGGTGCGTGTTTGATGGTCCAGCGCTGGTATAATCCACCCCAGCTTCGTGAAACCTGGTTAATCGATTGCAGCAGATGTCTACTGCAACCAGCTGGAGGAAATGATGAGGATGCTTGCGATTAACAGCTGAGATTGGTCAATAGAGACAGGCTGATCCTCTTGCAAGACAAGGCTCGACCACATGTCGCACAAACAACTCTGCTCAAACTACAGAGACTGGACTTGGAGACTCTCTGTCATCCACCATCTTCACCAGGCCTTGCACCAACTGACTACCACTTCTTCCAGGCTTTGGATTCCTTCTTGGAAGGAAAAATACTCAATTCTCAACAAGCTACGGAAAATGCCTTTTGTGATTTCATTGCCACTCGCTCTCCAGGCTTCTTTGTCACTGGCACAAACAAGCTACTATTAGGATGGCAAAACTGTGTCGATAGTTTAGGTGCATACTTTGGCTAATCGTACTTCTTGTTGGAAATATAATAAACTACACTTTTGATTCAAAATCAGCATTTCATATTTAATGACCTAAATAATGACAAAAATATCTTACCTTTTTGAGCTTTACTAATAACAACACACTTCATGGACCTCATTTTCATGGATTTCACTGGGTCCTCACAACTACTCTGTGAGACTATTACTATTGTTTCCAAGGTAAAGTAATTGACATTCAGGCAGATTAATAATAACTAGCAAATTGTATTCATGCAGCACATATTTTTGTGCATCTGGAAGGTTAGGCATATTGAAGCCTTATTGAGTAAATGAATAAAAAGTAGATGGCGGTTTTGAAATTCAAACTTAGTTTTGCCAATTCCAGAAGTGATCCTGGAATGCTTTGCTTCATTCATTAATATTCAAATGGCTGTTCTGGCAGATGCTTATTTTGATTTCAATTTTGTTTTTCTATTCCTCCCATGATTCTCCCTTTTCCTCCTTTATTTGCTCGCTCTCTTTTCCCTCATATATATGTGATGGCACCAAAACAGTAACCAAATTACTTCGTATATTTGGCTGTGAAACTATGTTCTTCGCTTGGAAAGGGTAGACTGTGTCTGTTAAATATTAGTACTATTCTTAACCCCCTTTTATTCCTGCCTTTCTCTTTCTCTAATCTCCTTTTTTGTTGTTGTCATTTCTTTTTTTATTTTGCTTTCTTTCCCCTACAATCTCTGTGTCAGAACAATAGCTGAAATTGCTTATGTATGTCTAGAAACCATCTTATTCTTTTTGGACCAGCCAGCTAATTATGGAACTCGAACTTTCAACATTAATTGAAGGTGTAAATATTTTAAAACGTGTGTAGAAGATGAGTTTAATTTAGTGCTTAAGTACTGAAATGAAGCCTTTGATAGGTACAAAACCCACTTGTTTTGAGTGTATTCCTACTACAAGAAAAATCACACTCTACAAAAATAATAAACAAGATGTCACAAAAAACCCCAGAACTCTTGCTTTTCTTCTTTTGCTAGACGCTGGAAGCAGATGTTGTAATTCTTGCTGTAGTTCTTTCTTATTAATAATAACTTTAGTAAAGGATGGACACTTGTGAATTTTCAATCGCTGCATAATTGAAAGAAAAAGAGCTGGGTGTTTTTGCCGGCAGGTTGTCAATTTTGGTTTATTTCTTTATTTATCAATATTGT